GGTGGCGCGGGCACCGGGGTGCCCCCGCTGCGGCTGGTGGCTGTGGGGGGACAGGAGGGGACAAGCAGAGACCGTTGAAGGGTGATGTCCCACCCCAGCACAGGTTTCAGCCCCCGTTTCTCTTATTTCCCCACCCAGTCCTTCAGTGCTGGTGGTCTCCAAAACTACCCCTGCCTTGCTTGCCCTAAGAGGCCACCCCAGAGTGGGATGGGGGGTCCTGCTGGTTGCCAGGACATGGAGGGGTGCAGACCCCCACTCCTGCTCCCTCCCTGGGACACCCGTGGGCAGAGGAGGGGGTGCTGCAGGGCGAGGGGCTCATCTCCAGCCACTTACACGCCGACGGGGGGGTCCCACCGTTGGTGGCTTCTGTCTTCTCGCTGCAACAAGAGAGAGAGAAGGGGAGTGAGTGTGGAGGCACCTCCATCCTCCCTGGATGGAGGCAGGGGCACAGCAGGGGCTGGTGTCTCCTGGGAGGGGGGCAGGACCCCCAGGATTGGCAGCAAACAGCTCAGCTGGAGGTTTCTCCGCACCCCAGGGACCCACAGGTGCCCTCCTGCTCCTCACCTGGGGGTCTCAGCCTCGGAGCCGCGGAGCAGAGCGCTCTGCACCAGCCCTGTCAGGCTGGCAATCTGCTTCTCCATGGCCTCCATCCGCTCCCTGCATGGGGAAAGGGAGAGGGGACGGGTGAGGAGCTGGATCCGGAACCGAGGGCACCCTGAGGTTCATCCCGGCCTCACTCACATCCAGCTGTTCCTTGCAGCCCCAGGAAAGACATCCATATCCTCCATTCCCTCTCTCTCCAGCCTCCAGCACCCCCAGCCGCTCCCCTCCACCCTCACTCGGTGCCTCCTTCCCCATCCCGCCACCTGCCACAGCGGGGATGATCCAAAGCTTCCCTCCACTCCTCCTCTCCCTCCCCAGCCGCCCCGACGGAAAACCACTGGAGCAGCAAAGCTCAGATCCCCGGGGGGCTTCTCCCACGCCCCATCTCACCTCGTCTCCGTGTCCTTGGCGGGTCCCGGGGAGCCAAACCCCGAGAGCGGGCGCTCGCCGGGGCCGGGGAAGAGCTCGGGGGGGCCGGAGGAGCTGGGGTTGCGCGTCTTGCCCACGGGGCTGTCCATGAACACCGAGGAGCAGGAATCCTTGCGGAAGGACTGGCGGACGGGCGAGGAGCGGCTGGGGGGCCCCGAGTAGGGGCTGTGGGGGCTCTGCCCCGGCTGCACGTCCACCATCTTCTGTGGGGACGAGGGGGGCACGCGGAAGCCCAGCCCGGGGCCGTACGTGTCGCCGTAGATGGGCGCGTTGGGTTTGTACAGCCCGTCCTCCAGCTCCGACTGCAGCGCCGCCGCCGAGTAGGTGCTGAGGGAGCGCACGGAGCCCCGCTTGTACAGCCCCCCCGAGTAGCCAAAGGGGTCCCCCATGCCCGCCAGGGACTGCGTGGAGGTGATGCTGAGCCGGCCCTCGTGCACCATCCCGTAGGGGTCGGCGTAGAGCCCCTCGTTCTTCACCAGCACCACGTTCTTCCCGGCCAGGTCCTCGTCGGGCTTCACGTCGCGGCGCTCCAGGATGGCGCTGGGGCTGGGGGACACGCCGGGGGCGGGCGGGAGGCTGGCCAGGCGCTCGCCGTGGTGCACGGGGCTGCCGGCGTAGGAGGGCGGGCGGCCCCCGCTGTAGGACATGCGGGAGCGGGACGGGGACGAGGACTGCAGCACGGGCGGGGGCGACCCCGAGGCCAGGTGGGACGCCGGGGACATGTTGTTGAGCCGGCGGGTGGGAGACGATTCCCTGGATGTGTACACCATCTCCCTCTGCAGGGAGGGGCGGGGGGTCAGCGCCGTGTCCCCTCCCCTGCTCCGCCCTGCTGGGACCCTCCACCCCTCCGAGCACCAGCAGCTCCCTCCTGAGCACCAACAGTTCCCTCCTTCCCCTCCGGCTGCGGGAGGATTTATCCTGATGAATTCCCTAAATACTGTGACTATTACCCCAAACATCCACCCTTTTAAAGCAACACTTAAAAAACTCTTAGACCCAGGCGAGACCAATCCCAGTCATCCCTCCTGCCACAAACACGTGGAATTACCAGCCTCTGTTGCTTTCTCTCTTCCCTGGCCCCACTGCACTGGGTGCACCCACCTCCCAGGTTCTCCCTGTGACACCCCGTGTCCCCCCCTTACCCTCAGGTCACCGTTGGTGATGTGGGAGGCTGGGAACGAGGCGTAGAGTGGCTCTTTCCGGTAGATTTTAATGATGCTTCTGTCCTGGATGTCGCTGGAGGGAGAAGCAGAGCCTGAGCATCCCTGACAGGCACCCCTGAAACTCCCAGCACTGCACCCACACCCCCATTTCCCACCTCATCCCACTGATTTCCTTGCTCGTGATGCCCTCAAATAAAGGAAAATCGACACTGTGGTGGATTCCTGAGCCCTCCCTCCCTCCCTCCTCACCGGACATCCTCCAGCTCGTAGAAGACGTTCCGGGACTCGTCCTTGATGAGGATGGCGGTGTTGGGGGACTTCAGCATGCCCATGGTGAGCTTCTGGGGGAACATGTGCACGATGAGGGCGTGCAGGGTGTCCATGCTGCTGATCTCGTGGGTGATGTGCACGCGCCTCGTCTCGTCCCCGAACTGCAGGAAAAGGACCCCTGGAGGCGGAGGGAGCAGAGGGCGGTGAGGGGAGGGAACCGGGCCCTGCCCTGGCACACACAGAGGGGTGTTTGGTGCCAGGCAGGTCCCTGGCAGAGCCCGAGGGTACCTGGAGATCGCAGCTTGGTCTGGCTGGTGGACCGGGACAGGGGCAAGCTCTGCCGGAACCGGTTCATCCTGTTGAACCCCAGGGGCAGCTCCGCTTCCGACATCGTTTCCAGGGATTCGGCCGAGGCGAAGGAGAGCTTGGCTTGGTCGGCCAAGCCAGGCTGGGAGCCCTGGGAGTGTCGGGAGCTCCTCGTCTGGAAAGGGAGAGGGGAGAGCTCAGAGGAGGATGGTGATGGGTATCCCAGCCCTGGACGTGGCGGGTGCTGCTCCCGCCTTTCTACGGCACGCGGCGCTGGGATGGAGAGGGAATCATAGAATCATGGAATGTCCCGAGTTGGAAGGGACCACTGAAGATCATCAACTCCAGCTCCCGGTCCTGCACAGAATATGCCCAAAAATCCCACTGTGTGCTGAGCTGCATCCAGGGATGCTCCATCCCGGATTCCCACTGAGTTGGGGCCCTGATGTGATCCAGACACGGGGCCAGCTCGAAGCCTCCTCCACCTCCTGCTCCCAGCACGGACCCCCATTCCCAGTCCCCTCACTCCTGCCATCCCTCACTCCCGTTTCCCATCTCCCAGTGCCACTCCAGTGCCTTTGAGCTCCCGCACCAGCAACCACTGGAACAAACCCGGCCGGAGCCGCCGGAGCCGCCGGAGCCGGGACTCGCGTGCGAGCTCTGGAATAACCTTGGCAATTCCAGGAGGTTACACATCCATTACACCAATGAAGCAGCTCCCGGGAAACATAAATGCCTGGCTTATTCTGGAAGCAAAGCAGCGGCGAGGTTTATGGCTGTGTGAGCCTGGAGAAAGTAATGGACTGGGGCTTACAGCAGGAAAAATTTAATAACACCAGGAGCCCAATTTCCCAGCGTGTTCGCTGCGGGGGAAGTTCACGCTCCAGACACGGATTTTTCGGCGCAAACATCCCCGAATACGTGGCCGGGCCCCCCCCTTTGGCACAGGTGCCCGTCGATATCCCCCCGAAAATACCAGGCTTTGGATTTTCCAGACACATGTTTAACGTCGGCAAACCAAACAGAGGGAACAAACAGCTCCTGGGGTGTGGAAAAGGTGGCCCTGGAAGGGACAACAGCTCTATTTTAAGACCGGAAAGAAAAAAAAAAACAACGACAACAACAAAAAAAATCAATATGAAATGATAACAGCCATCATCATCATTTAAATTAGACATTAATTGGAAGATTTAATTAATCCTGTGAGGCGGGGTTTTTGGAGGACTTGAAATGTTCTCGCTGGAGCTAATTGCTGGAAAATTGACTGCCTGGTTTGGCTGTTGTTGTTTCAGCACAAAGAGCTCTGGCAGCGCAGCTGCTCGAGTCTGACATCAAGGAAAGGATGTCGGGATGGACCTGGCCAGGACCAGCACCCCGAGGGTGCCCAGCAGGTGAGGGAGCTGCAGGGAGCAGGAGGTGATGGATGGACCCTCCTCCCCTCCCTCACGCTCGTGGCACGGAGGTCTTTGAGGTGCAGCAGCTGGTTTTTGGGCTCCCCACCCTCGCACACCCTTTAGGGCTGGTGGGTGCCCATCTCCAGGCGTTTGCTCTGGGTTTGGGTGCTGCTGCCCAGCTCCCAAACCGGGATGGATCCGAACAGGGAAGAGCAGGGATGTGGTTGGGATGTGACCAACGCTGCCAGGGCTGCACCTCAGCCTGGCTTTGCCCTCCTGGCTCCTTCCTGTGCTCTGTGCCAGAGGGGTCTCACCCTGCCCTGTATCCATCCATCCATCCACCCATCCATCCTTTCCACACCCTACCCATAAATACCCCCCAATCCCAATGTCCTGGGGTCCCTACAGCCCCTATAACACCACACCCTGATGCCCTGGGGTCCCTACAGCCCCTCTAACACCACACCCCAACACCCTGGGGTCCCTACAGCCCCTCTAACACCACACCCTGATGCCCTGGAGTCCCTACAGCCCCTATAACACTCCACCCTGATGCCCTGGGGTCTCTACAGCCCCTATAACACCCCACCCCAACACCCTGGGGTCTCTACAGCCCCTGTAACACCACACCCCAACGCCCTGGGGTCCCTACAGCCCCTATAACACCACCCCCTGATGCCCTGGGGTCTCTACAGCCCCTATAACACCCCATCCCAACACCCTGGGGTCCCTACAGCCCATGGGACACCTGCAGGAGCAGGTGACAGGGAGAACTTCCCCGTTCCAGGTGAGCCCTGCCCTGCAGGCGCTGCTGACCTCAGGTAATTAAGCTCATCTGCTGGAGATAATTATGGCATCAGTCAAACAACAAGAACAAAAAAAAAAAAAAAAAAAAGGAGAAAACAGGCAGGATGGGAGTTAATGGATTTTTAGCCCGGAAGGGACCGTTCTGGCCTGATGCTCACAAAATGTGCTCCCCCACCCTGAGCAGGGAGCTGCAGCCCCCCAAAACTGTTGCTGGCACCGGGGTAGAGCCACAGCCCCCTTCCCCCAGTGCCCCTCACTCAGGGCACCCCTGTAGGCACAGGACCCTCGTGCACCCCAGGGTGCTGGTAAGCTGGAAAGGGCAGGTCCTGTAGTGGGGGGACACGATTCCAAGCACTCCAGGGGGGGAATCTCTGCCATTTTTTGCCTGGGGGAGCAGGACCCAGGCATCCCCAGAGCCCAGGGAGGGGACAGCAGTGGCTGCTCCGACCTTGGCCTCCAGCAGCCCATTAATGAGCCACCTCAGAGGGAACCAGAGGTTTTATTGCTCTGCCTCACTAATGATTCCTCCTGCTCTGGGATAATGCATTAAACCGACAGCTCAGCCCCCACAGATCCTGCCTCCCGCCCCTGCCACCAGCTTGGCAGTCCCTGGCACCCCTGGGGGGACTCTGCTGCCCCACAGCCCCTCCCACAGCCCCCACAGCCCCCCCCTGAGCGGGTGGGACCCGCTCACAGCCACCCAGGCCATGAATCATCCCAAACGTGCCAGGACAGGGCACCTTCAGGAGGCTCCATCCGTCCCTGTGGAGTTTAAATGACTCCACACCCGGGTTCCTGCTTTGCTGGAGGTGCTTTTGGGGGGGTCCTGATCCTGCCTGGAGGGTGCCACCCTGGGATGGGCAGTGCCAGGACCTGCCTGTGCCGGGATGGACGTTCCCTGCTGTCACCCCACCGAGGGTCGCCCCGTTGTCCATCCAGAGGAGGGGGAGATGCACCCACCCAGGGGCATGCAGGGTCCCACCCCACGGCCCTCCCAGTTGGGGAAGGCTCTGTGGGTGCAGGATAAATCTCTGCAGTGACCAAAACCCAGCCTGCACCCCCAGCCTGGGCACAAAGCCCTTGTCCCCCCCCATTCCTCAGTTTTTACACCTTCAGGGACAGTTTTACCCAAATCCAGACCCCTCCCTCCAACAAGGGGCTCCTGCAGCTTCAGAAGAGCCCAAACACTCCCTGTGGGATCTGAAACCCCCTGTGGTGGCAGGGAGGGGGTGGAGGGGACACAGCCCCCTCTGCTTGTTGTCCCCGTGCTGCAGAGATGCCACGCTGGGAAATGACCCATTTCCTGCTGAACCAGCACTTACAGAGGGTTAACACGATTCCTGCCACTGATTCCTGCCACGGCAGCAGCAGCATCGCCTCCAAACCCGGGATCCTGGAGCTGCCCCCACCACCCCCAAACCCGGGATCCTGGAGCTGCCCCCACCACCCCCAAACCCGGGATCCTGGAGCTGCCCCCACCA